ATGTTGATTGTTAATTATTATTAATAAATATTATAAATAGATATAGATAAATAAATATATATAATTATAAATATAATTACAATTATAAATATTATAAGTTATGATAAATATAATAATTAATATACATTAATATTTATTAATTAATATATATTAATATATGTAAATAAAATGTGCAAGTATAAATGTTATGACGCTCAGAATTAAATTTTAAAAGACACTGTTGATTGCGTAAAATTATGAATGAGAATATTTTATGTAACAAAAGATAAGAGTTTTTCTTATCTTTTATGGGAAAATATTACAATCATAAAAATCTTCATAATCATAAAAGTGAGCATAACACGCCTTTCAAGAAAAAAGTCTTTAAATCTTAAGAAAGATTTATATTCCTTTCCTTTTCCGTCGGTTTTCATTCTTTTCTTGTGGGTGGTATCTCGTGTTCTTTGAACGGAACAATATTAGCAGCAGCACGCAATTTCAAGACGCATAACTCGACATCTGTTATTGTCCTTAAATGGTGCAAACTGGATTAACGAATGACCCATTTCCGTAAGGCACTGGTCCATGTTGCTCTCGTGCATTCTTTTCTATCCGGAAAGGAAAGTCAAAGTTTGTGAAAAGCTTCCGAACTTTTGTTCAGGACACTGAGTTTACGAGAGGCAATGAAAGCAACCCCCTAGCGTTCTGAAGGGCGTGTAACGGGACGTTTGTAGAGTCTAAAGCTAATATTCTTCTCTCCTGATTTATGTGCGAGGGCGGTTACACGCCTTAAACGTTTGTTCGCGTTTCAATTTTGACAAATTGACACTTACGATTGGAAAACCGAATTTTCTTTGAAGGAAAAAAGAAACGGCGATACGATTTGTCAAATACACAGTTGGAAGTAACGATTTACAAGTATTATAGCGGAAAGTTGTCAACGGTTTATAATGCGGTTTATAATGAAACTGACAAATTAGTCATACAATATCTGAATTTTGTTCTCATTTTTCTTATCTTTGATAAATATTAATTCGCTTATCGTTTGATAATTTAGAATTTAATCTGTTTGCGTAATATTAATATCAATCAGATTTTTTATAAAAGATAAAAAATATGAGACATTATTATCAAAATACTTGTAGGTTGTAAATTAAAGTAAGTCATTTTATTTAAATGGATTTCAGCTCCAATTCCGATTAAAGAGAAAGAGAGAGAAAGAAAATTCATAAATAAAATTCTCAAAATTTGTTTATCAGCTTCCTGCATTTTTTATTATAGACACGTCTACATATTTTTTTGCAATTGCCGCAAAGAAAATAGATTTATTTACAATGTATC